CCACTATCCACCCATACACCTACTACAGTCCCTGTGGCCCCTGCACCTACTACAGTCCATATCCCCACCATGCACACATATACTGCAGCCTCTATATCACCCACACACAGTAGAGGCTCTATTATCCCTACAAATACACACTACAGCCCCAGTATTCCCAAACGCCTACGCCTCTATTCTACACACATACGACAGCCCCTCTCCACTCACATATTACACTGCAAACAGCCCCACCCACACATGCATACCCACAAGGAGCCTCACTGTATGCACACAATTTCACAAGCAGCATCCCACACATGCAAAACCTCATGCAGCCTCCCTATACGAAAATCACAAGCAGCATCTCCACCAGTGCCATACCTCATACAGCCTCCTTACACAAGCGCAATTATTACAATCACTTATACAGCATAAACATATTGTGCAGCGCAGTACAATAGGTAAAACAAGACAATTAAATGTAACTCAATACATTGACATACAGGAACACAACATCACAAGCAGCATCACACACACGCAACCCCACAAGTAACCCACAAAACACATGTGTTTGGAGGCGACTTGTATGGTCGCACATGTCGGGTACTCTGCATGTAATGTCACCAGCAAACACATTGGGAGCGTGTAAATAAATGCTCGAGTACACACAGAGTGAACTGGTCGAACAGGGAGGGGAAAAAGTAGAGCTGTTGCAGTGGACTGGAATCATTATTTGATCCAGTTGGGAGATTGGTTGCTTCCCCTACCCAGATAGCTTACTAGGCCTCGGAGGTGGGCAGCTAGAATATTATACAGGCACAAAGCCTTAATGGACTCCCAAACAGGCTGTTGCAGAATCAATTTGAAACCCAGTGTTAAAGCAGTGGGAATCTGTGAAATATCACAAATAATTGCAGAGCTCACACTTTCTGCTTCTGCTTGGCATGGCTTCCAGACCCCACCGCCTACTAATGGGTATACCTTCACTCAGTCCCTCCATGTGTCTTAATTCCCACACAGTTCCTTCCATGTGTCAGTTCCCCCCCCCCCGCCCCTCTTTTTTAAATTTTTTTATTCTTTATTTTTTGGTGCATTCAGTTAATACAGTTACTTGTTCTGCCACAACAGCCATGTAGAGACGGCTCCATACTCTCGAAACATTTATATGACAAAGGACATTTTATTAATTATTATTGTTGTTGTTTTTTTAATCTTCATGTCTAGTCCGCCTCTCAGAGTTACCAAAACATGATCCACAGCTCAGACATGAGGAACTAGCCTGTACTCCCTGGTTACCTATTTTAATCGTATTACACCCAGCGTAGCACATTTAAACTTACATTAAAGGCATGACCGCGCGTAGCCAGACACTGCGATAGAAGTGTTTAGCTCAGTTATGTAATTTTATGTCCTAGCCTGCTTTACTATTATTGTGCCCACTGGACGAAGCTTGTCTGTCAGCCAGGAAAGTAGCCTTTTGTTTTTATGAAGCC